AAGAAAACATGAAAAATTGCATCTAAACCAATTTTGTCTAATATAAAAGGCAAAATGGATAAACCAGTTTTGAATAAGTCAATTTCGAATCCATTTAAAGTGTAATATATTTTAGATGTTCATCATCTTCTACGTACTTTTAAATTTTTACATTGTTATAAGTTCTAGGGTAAGGTCTACATCTGGTTCGGTTGATGGGTTGCTTAATGGGCTTGGCTTAGATGTGCTAGTGGGTCCGGTTCACGGATTGACAATCACATGTCAATAGGCTAAAGCCTCGTTTGGGAATATGTTTTTTTAATAACTTTTTGATTTTTAGATTAAAATATGATGTAAAAAAAATTAATATGTTTGGGATGACTTTTTGATTTTTTAAAATCATTTGGAATAACAAGGAATTTGGAAAAAGTAAATAAGTAAATAAGTATAACTTGAAAATATAAAGAAAAAAAAATATAAAGAATTCATTTTTTAAAGTAATTTCGTTGTTTTTGTACAAAATAATTACTAATTCATAAAAATAAAAAAAAAGAATTTAATGATTAAAATTTTAAAGTTTATCAATGATTTGACTTCTTTTTTTTTTTTTTGAAATTATGATTTCTTTTTAATTTTTTTACATTTGCATTATCTTTTAAAAGACGGGTAAACTTTGTACTTTGCAATTTCAATGAAAATTGAATTATATGTAATTCTCTATTTGAAGGAATATTGACTTCAAATTTGTCAAATTTCATGGTTTGATAATATATTGTTTTTATCTTTTGAATTTTAATATGCTGTGGCCTTTGATCTACGGTAATGGCCAGAACAAGGAAGGTCAAAATCGAAACATATACTGCCAAATTAGGAAAAGATTTGGCTTCTTTTTAAATTGTCATTTCAACTTGACAGCAAGTTTATTTTAAAATTAATTTTAGTGGTTTAAATTGTTTATTTTAAAATTTATTGGCTAAAATATTCATATAAAAAATTAAAATAATTAGATATCTATAGTTATATGTTTGAATATAATTATTTATTTTTTATAATATAAATTTGATTCAAATATATAACTATTAATATCCATCTTAATTTTTCTATAAATATTCTACTCAATAAATTTTAAAAAATGATCGATTTAAATCATTAAAATTGATTCAAAAACAAAATATGTATGTTAGTGTGTGTAGGAGAGAGAGATATTTTGAGAAAGGGAGAGAGAGAGAGAGAAGATACATGCCCATTGCCCATATTAGTATGTGTATAAAGTGGCCGGTGAAAGCGTGGATGCATCAAAAAGTCAAGAGTGCCAACTTGGTAATAACTTGGCCGCCATGCTGGACGTTCATAACTTGGCCATTAGGAAAAGATTTGGCTTCTTTTTAAATTGTCATTTCAACTTGACAGCAAGTTTATTTTAAAATTAATTTTAGTGGTTTAAATTGTTTATTTTAAAATTTATTGGCTAAAATATTCATATAAAAAATTAAAATAATTAGATATCTATAGTTATATGTTTGAATATAATTATTTATTTTTTATAATATAAATTTGATTCAAATATATAACTATTAATATCCATCTTAATTTTTCTATAAATACTCTACTCAATAAATTTTAAAAAATGATCGATTTAAATCATTGAAATTGATTCAAAAACAAAATATGTATGTTAGTGTGTGTAGGAGAGAGAGAGATACTTTGAGAAAGAGAGAGAGAGAGAGAAGATACATGCCCATTGCCCATTGCCCATATTAGTATGTGTATAAAGTGGCCGGTGAAAGCGTGGATGCATCAAAAAGTCAAGAGTGCCAACTTGGTAATAACTTGGCCGCCATGCTGGACGTTCCTTGGATTTATCAACCTCAAAAACATTGCAGATACATTAATCAATGCAAAAATCTACCAATAAAGAAAAAAAATACTAACTTCTTAATTTTTTTAATTTTTTAATCCATCTTGTATAGATGAATCTAAAAAGTTAAAATTTTTTAAAACTTTTTTTTGAAGTCTTTTCTGAACTTTTTTTAAAATTTTAATTTTTTTGGATGTCTAGAATTTAAAAATCTAGAGTTTTTTGATTTTTTTTTAAAGTTCATTAAAAATAAAAATAAGTCACCAAAAAAACAAATCCCGACCATTATCTAACTCCCTATAAAAAAAAATGAAAAAGAAAAAAAAGCATCAATCCAACTCAAAATTAATCATGCAATGAGGCACAAAATATTCATATATTTGTAAGCCTTGCCCAATATAAGATTTGTAAGCATGTGCACGTGTGTTTCATTTTTAATTTATTTCGGTATTACGTGCCCTTGTTGCACAAAAATAAATAAATAAATCAATAAAATTATATTTAGATCATGAATTTCATTAGAAATTTTTTAAAAAATAATCCAGACACAAGTAAGAAAAAAGTGAATTTTTTGATTACGCTCTATTAATTCTCAAGTACAAAATAATAATTTTTCATTCAACATATCAAACAATTATTGATCTTAAACCTTGAAACCGGAGAGTGAAAAATAAAACATACGACTCTTATTGGATAAGTAGTCTCGGAATTGGCATAACAAATTGAGTGAGTCATACCACATATCTCAAAGTTGGGTCATAATTGAGCTTTTGATTACGCTCTATTATTTATGAATAATCTATAAAAAGAGATTTAAAATATTAAAAAAATTAAATTATTAAAATAAAAATCATGGTAGCACTTTTGTTTTTTTTATTATTATTTTAATAATTAAATGTTCGAATCAACTTACCAGTACACTCCTTAAACAAAAAGGTTATTAACCCATAAAATAAATAAAAAAATGACTTAATCTTGATCCTGTATATTCAAAATTGTTATTATGAGCCGCATCATGAACAAATCTTGATCTTTAATTATTGGATTTTGAGAAATTTATAGTTTTCAGAATTCCTATAGATATTTTTTTTATTACAGGAAAATCCTTCTTACTCTCCCGCAGGTCCAAGGCAGCGTCCCTTTGTAGAGATCACCAAGGTGTCCTGTTAGCCGTTCCAAGCGAGGAGACTATAACCTGGGAACTTGTCCCGACCTCCCAAGACAAACTCCGCTTAAGTCAAGACTTGCACAGCGAGGAGCATTGAACCCACACAAAGTGCTAGTTAGACAACTTGAAATCTAACTTCTTAACCAACTATGTTATGCCCAAAAAATTAACCCAAAAAAAATTTAAACTCATAACCTAAGGACTTAATCTCCATATTCTTGCCGCAAAGACTTATTAATCTCCATATTCTTGCCACAAGGCCACCCACGCCTGAGTTAATTCCTAGAGATGTTGATCCTTAAAAATATAATACTAAAAGAAAGAGGGGAAAGGAAATACAAAGGGTATGTTTGGTAACGTTTACGTTTTCAGTTTATATTTACAAAAATTTTATAAACTGGTTTTTGTTTATTTTTTGTTTATTTTTAGAAAAACACAAAATACAAACGCGTTTGGTAATTAACAAAATGTTTAAAAAAATTTAAAAGTATAAAAAAGAGTTAGAAATGGCAAGTGGTGACAAGTGGCTGCGAAAGACGGTGGTGGAAAGTGGTGACGGTGGGTGGTGGGTAGCTGGTGGTGGTGGGTGGTGGGTAGCTGGTGGTGGCGAGTGGGTGGTGGTGGTGGGTGGATGGGTGACGGTGGCGGGTGGTGGGTGGAATTTGCTATCGCTAAGCCCCGTACTTTATATTAATTGAATATTCATATAGAGGCCGTAGGTAATCTATAATTACTGGCCGGTCATGAAGCTAAACCTATGGGAGCGGGTTTGGGTTGCAATACCACCATTATATAATATTTTTGGAGAAATTGTATAAATTATAGTTTGAAAACATTTGTGTAATTATTTTTGGTGACATATTTGTACATTTGAGGTTATTAGTTTTTAAAATTATAAATTTGGGATTTATTTAGTTTATTAACGGCTTGAAAGTTGCAGCGTTATAGAAATTACATGTTCATATAAATCGTCTACTGAATGCGATGATCAGAGGGTATGCCACTCTAGTAGCTAATGAATTAGGGCTTCAGATTAGGAGGTTGTGCCCTCTTAAGGATGTTAAGTCGTGGAAGAAAATTGATGAGATTGCCAAAGCCGCTACTGCTCCTTTGTTTTCTATATATGCTTATTCTTTATTGGAATACTTCATTTGTGATCTATAAAAATATTTGCAATTGGTTATTGTTACTTGTATTATTTATGCTCTGCTTGGGGAGCGGATAAGATATACATTAAAGTCTGGTTTTTGTTGGAAATTGGGTCGGATTTGACCCGACTCATTACTGATGAAGCGTTCACATGGGTTGTTAATAATTCACGGTGGTGGTGGTGGTGGTGGTGAGGGGTGGGTGGTGATGGTGAGGTCGCTGGTGGTGACGGGTGGTGGCGAGTGGTGGCTGGTGGTGGCAGAAGACGGTGGTGGAAAATGGTAGCGGGTGGTGGCTAGTGTTAGGTGGTAAAAAAAAGAAAAAACTCAAAACTCAAAACAGAAACACATTTTTTCTGTTTTCATTTTTTGGCCAAATTTATAAACTGATACCACTAATTTATAAATCAAAAATTTTATCAAACAAGTTTTTATTTGAGTTTTTTAAATTTTTGTAAATATAAACAAAAAACTAAAAACGTAAGTGTTACCAAACGACACCAAAATGATTACTCGGGATGGGGGTAGTTGAGTTGTCTAGCTTTAGGTTCGTGGAAACAGTTTTTATGTTGCTATCTTAGACCAAACCCCACACCATTAGACTCGACAAAACAAGGGACTAGGTAGGGTTCCCATTCCCATCCCCAAGGAGCTCTTCATACCTTCTTGTTTTTAATATCCTATCGTGGACCCCACTAGAGTTGACAACCGAGGATTCCTATTTCTTTCCCTTGAATTAATTTCTAACCTTTTCTTTGATTCGTTCATTCGTTCTCTATCTCACCACGCCGTGTTCGTTGATATAGACAGATACATGAATTTCTCTATATAAACACCCACTTGAGAACTTTCAAACTCATTAAACAAAAAACGAAAGTCTGTTTTCCTCATCACTTCCCCCTTCAATTGCTGAAGCGCTATAGAGAGAGAGAGAGAGAGAGAGAGAGAATGAAGAAGAGTAAGAGTAGTTCACCGGAAAAACTTGATAGGAAGTTGGTGGAGAGGAATCGGAGAATACATATGAAAGGTCTTTGTTTCAAGCTCACTTCTCTCATCCCTCCCCATCATTTCAGACCCTCCAAGGTACTCTCTCTCTCTCTCTCTCTCTCTGTCATCTCTCTACTCTAGCCAGCTGTTGTCAACTCTAGTTTAATGCTACAAAACAAGAACTTTTTTAGCGTAAAAAGTATTAGGTAAAACCGTGTGTAATTTTAAATTTAATTTTTTTTATAGTAAAATTTACATTTAAAATGAATTTAAATCATCATTTTCCTTTGAATTTTTCTAGGTTCTTAGTTCGTAACGTTAATTTTAATATCTCCTCTTCGTCACTTTAAAATAATAAGTGTCAATTTATATAAAAAAAATATGTAAATATTTAGATATTTTCTTTTATTTTAACGAGAATCTGGTGAATTGTCATTAGCTAGCATGACATAAATGTAGTACCTTTGTTCATAGAGTTCGGATTATAACTCATAAGTGAGTTAATTTTGTAAATTTAACTCATGGTATGTTTTGAATGACAAGTCAGTAGTAATAAATAGTTCTATTTAAGATGGTGGTTTGGTATAACCCAGTTAAGTCTATCTTTTTATATTTTTATCTTTTTTAAATTACATCAATCAACATCTTCTCTTTGTTTTTTTACACATCTTTTTATAAAAAATCAAAAAATATATTTATTTAGGACATTTCAAACCACCGCAATGGTAATACCTAATTCTATTTCTTTTCTTATTTTTTTCAATAATAAACGCATGGGATTCACAATTATCAAGGCTAATAGACTCAGGCCCCGTTTGTTTTGGGCTAGAGGGAGGGTATTGGGACTAGTAATACCAAGGTATTACTAAAGCCCCTGTTTGTTTGCAGAGAAAGTCTCGGGACTATTAGTCCCTTGGTATTGCTAATACCCTTGGAAGGGGGATTGGTAAGGAGGAGGTAGAGATGATATTAGAAAATAGTGAGGGGATTAGAAATTTTTTTATTTTTTATATATTGGGAATTTTTTTTAAATATAATGTTTAATTTTTTATATTTTTTTATTTGTTTTATTATTTTATATAAAAATAATTTAACAATTCTTCATTATTAATCCCCTCACTATCAATCCCCTCACTAACAATCCCCTCATTATCAATCCCCTCATTATCAATCCCTTCCATTCTATCTCCCAAAACAAACGGGGTCTCAGTTTCAATGCTTTTATTACCAACTACACATGAAGAAAGAAAAAAATTTATTGTGTACTTTTCTATCTCAATTCACTTTTTATAAAGAAAGAAATTTGTAAATGATGCAAGGCCACACATTTTAATCAACAGAGGTTCTCCGAATGACTGCACTCCACCTAGCGCTTCAATAATATGACAAGAAAAGGACAACAAATTATCATGGATGCTTCAATTTTATTTATTCATAATTCATCAAATATAATAATCAATTTTGAGCTAGTAATTTTGTTAACTCATACTAATCTTTTCTTTTTATACGAGAACGATTGTACAAGATTTTTTTGTCCCCATTTTCTCGTCTACATAGATTTGCCAAATCCTAATTTAAAAATTAATTATTTTGAAACATCATCTAACTAGATATAGATTCAAGACAGCCAGATAATAGAGAATTTGGAGAAAGAATCTAATTTAAAAATTCATTATTTTGACCCATCGTCTAAGTAGATAGAGGTTTGAGATACAGTGATATTAACTATTCTAGGCAAAAATCTATGTTTGAAAATGATACTATATAGAATCTTGTGTAACGTGTGCCCATCTTTAGGGAGACAAGTGTACAGCATAGATCATGATCATGAAATTATATTTTGTTTTTGCGTGGCTAATATATTTTGTTCATTAATAATAAAAAAAACATCGTAATCAACAAAAAGAAGAGAAAAAATAAATAAAAGCAAAAGAAACACCATGCCATAACAATCCTCATATACCATGATCATGAGCACCAAGTCTATGAAAGTTGACTTTTATGACTACACTTCTTTTGATCCTAATGTATTAACCCTATACCATACTGAAAACTATGCAATTATAATAAAAGATATTCTACATATAATGGGGCTGTTTGTTAAGTTGGGTAATATATGTTATTCTTTCTCAGAAAAATTACAATTCAAGTGGTGTTTTCTTAAATAATTATAAATTTTTGGAAAATTTTAAGATTTTAATTATTAATATTCATAAATTTTATTACTTATATATTTGAAATTGTTTTTAAAAACTTAGGCTAAATTGTCATTTTTCTTTCTTTCTCTTCTACTTCCATGCTAGTTAGTTACCATTTCAAATAAAAAATAAAATAAAAATTTGGGCTCAAAATAACAATTTTTTTCAGGACATGTTATCACAGCAAGATCAACTCGATCAAGCTGCCGAATATATCAAGCAATTGAAAGAGAGAATAGAGGAATTGAAGGCAAGGCGGACCTTAGCGATGGCCAATACTAATGAAACCAACAAGAATATCAAAGATACGATGATGTTTGGACTCAGACTACCTGTGGTTGAATTGAAAGATTTAGGTTCAAGTTTAGAAGTGGTTTTGATAAGTGGGTTGGAGAAGAATTTCATGCTATATGAAGTTATTAGTGTTCTTGAGGATGAAGGTGCTGAGGTAGTGAGTACAAGCGTTTCTACTATGGGGGATAGGGTTTTCCACACTCTCCATGCTCAGGTGATTACTCAATTCCTCTTCTTTACTTCCATTTTGATTTTGTTTTTCGTCACAAAAAATTGCCAAAATTGTATTTTCTTGTTGTGACCAACCATCATAATTATTATTGTCAAATTGTGAATCAAATTGTTAATCAGTTTGTTGAAATAGTGACACCATGAATTGCATTGAATGGTGAATTGCATTAAAAATTGCCAAGATTTAGATTCACATTTTTTATTTTATTTTATAAAATATAATATATAATTTTCTATATATTTATATTTAGATACAAAATATATAAAACAAAGTCCAATTAATACACATTAATGTATGTTTGGGAGGGAAAAGATTAAGTATACACATAACATTTGACATAGTGCATAAAGTGATTGTCCCGTGACTTAAACTTATAATCTCAAAATTAATAATCTTCTCCTCCCAAATACAGATACAAAATATATATAGTGTTTAAAATTTAATAAATATCAATATAACTTATTAATTTTTTAATATTTCTTGATAGACCTCAAAAATGTCATTTCATGCAGTATGCAAAATAAAAACAAAATATAGTACTCAATTGTATTGAATCATAGTGAATTGCACGATTCAGTTAATTTCTAAATCAATATAATTTGAATTCTTTTAGTCAAATTCGCATTAAATCGTATGAATTATATGGTTTTAACGACCATGTGTATACTAATATAAGTTGCTTTCATTTTGATGAACTTGGCAGGTGAAAGTTACTAGAGTTGGTGTGGAGACCTCAAGGGTATGCCAGAGATTGCATGAATTGGTTTGCTGATTTGTTCTTTTCTTTTCTTGGTGGGGGGAGAATATTTTCTGTAAATGAACCATGCATGAAGTGGTGGATCCAGTTGAAGGATGGAAAATCCCTAAAATTTCCCCACCTTATTGCTTGTTTTCATTAGGTTATGAAGAATGAGTCAACCCAAGGTATCAAGTCAGCAAATACATAAATCTACTACTAGGTTGTAGTCTTTTTTTTTGTTTTTTGTCTCGCAATGGTATTATAGCTTTGTTTGGAATGTGAGTTAGGTTTTTGGTCTTGTTTAAGATGGATTTTTTTGACTATTTTAACTTTTGCGAGAGAAAAAATTTAATAATTATGATTTAGATGTGATAATTTTTAGTATAGAATTAAAAAACGTATTTGATCTTTTGTGACTAAAATAACTCCAATCCCACCCAAACTCGTATGTCAAACGAGCACTATGTAGCATTTTTATTCAACTTTTGTATTGTTAGCTTGTACTTAATATTTACATTGCAATGGAAAAAAAGAAAAAGAAAAAAGAAGTAGAGAGTTTCAATATCAAGACTTTCCTCTTAATCTATTCATTTTTTTGACTTTTTTCTTTTGGGGTGCTACCAAGTGATTAACATTAATCCGAAAAAAATCTTGAGACATCTAATTTATCACCTCTAAAAATTATTTTTAATAAGGTGTTTGACAAGTATCAAATTTTGATTTATCAAATATTCGTTCTATGAGATCTAATCTCAATATCACATCATTAGAGGTTATTTAAGGGTGATAAATTAAGGAGATATAGTATTGTTGTAACACAAAATCAAATGAGAAAGTTAAATAAATGGTATATTATATTAAGCCCATTTTATGTTGGGAACTTTTTTGATAAGTCTTATTTTTAAGAGTTTTATTCTATCAAATTCATATTCTTTTTTACTATTCCATTAGATCCTATTTGAGGTAAGAAGACCAAAACACCATGAATCTCTCCTGTCCCTTATTAACGTTGATATTTAATGTTGATTGTCATTATATTTTAGTAGTTCTCATACATCAAGATGTTGACTGTCATTATATTCATGTTAATTTGAAATGAATTTTTGTCATTGTGTTGTCAATTACATGTTGTGAATATTCACATCATGTAATTGAAATGAATATTTACATCATTATAATCACATTAATTTGAAATGAATTTTGTTATTGTGTTGTCAATTACATGATGTGAATATTTATACTAAAATATACGAATGTGAACGTTCACATCATTACATTAAATGAGAGAGAATGTTCACATGTTGTTAACGTTCACATCTCTACATGTAGTGATAAGAATGTGTTGTCAATTAAAAATAAAAAAGTTCATATGTTGTGAACGTTCACATGTTGTGAACGTTCACATCACTACATTAGATGAAAGAGAATTTTTCAGAAATGTGTTGTAAACGTTTTTATCAGATGAGAGAGAATGTTCACATTATTTTCATGTGTTCTCAATTAAAAATATATTTACATTATATAATAATATAAAATAATAACATAAATATTATTTAATTTGTGTATGAAATTTTTTATACCTTGGTCCTTTCCCTTCTCTCTTCTCTCCCCAACATAAAATGTCAACATTAAATATCAATATTAAATATAAAGGCAAAAAAGTTTAAGAAAATAGTGTAAATCAAGAAAAATGACTTTATGGAATAAAAGTATAAATACATGGGATTAAGTGGGTTAAAAATTCTTTCATGGACTTCTTGGGTTAGAATACTTCTAAATGAGATTTATCAATAAAAATCCCTTTTATGTTTGGCCATTTTGTTTACTTTGATCCTTAAACTTTTTTTTTTTTTTTGACTCTTCGTGTTTGAAGATTTTTTCAATTTACTCTAAAAGTTAACTTATGTCTAAAATTAAATAGAAAATGACATATTGATATCCACGTAACAAAAAATATTTTATTATATACAATTTACACCTCTGACACAAGTCCAATTTCAATATAATAATATATTTTTAGATCATGTTGTAGTTAATGTGATATTTTTTTGTCTAATTTTAAATAGAGATTAGATTTAGATTTAAATTGAGAAAAATTTAAAATATGAAAAGACAAAGTAAAAAATAAAATAAAAAATAATTAAAAATAAAAAGGGCAAAGAAAAAAACACAACCCTCACAACCACACTAACCTGTGATTGATTTATGAAGGAAAGAAAAATAAAAAACAAAAAGACAAAAGCACATAATTAGTTTAAAAAAAGATTGGGACCCCATCTGTGAGACCCCAGCACCCCAGTGTGTGCTGATTGGTCAATGATTTATTTATTTTTTTTCTTGTCAAATCACCGAGTGGGGATGGGAGAAGAGTGGGGGTCTCAATCAAAGTCCTTGTAATGTAATTAATGAGTGGAGTCAATAATAATGTTATAACTAGTGTTGATACATTAGTTAGTACACTAATTGGTGCATGTAACACCACCGTTGTTGAATAGAAGTTATAAACTTCTGATTTAATTACCCCTTTCCTAAATCTCAGCTTCCTGACTGTAACTTTGTTATCCTAAGTAGGCAACCCAAGAGGGGGTGAATTGGATTATTAAACATTTTACAATATTAAAATTTATAAACACAATATTCAGAATTTTAACAAATAAAAAATAGAATAATAAATATCAATATAAAAGTAAGAAAGATAGGGAGAGAAAATCAAATACTGAGATTTATAAAGGAGAAGAAATAGAAGATATATATATATATATATATATATTATTTAATTTTATTATTTATTTATTAGTCAATTATGGATATCAAAAGTCACACATTAGGGTCTGGTGGTGCATTGCACGTTTGGTTTGTTAACGTAGGCAAGCGTGTGATGTTGTTACTTTGTAGACCAAATCACTTTAATTAAGTTACTTTGTAGACCAAAGTCACACAATGAGGAATATTTTACAATCTCTTTTGAAAAAGCAAGTCCGAACTTGTGATTGCCATATGATCACATATGAGATCCTCTTAAAAAATTTAAAAAATTTAAAATTTTGAATTTAAAACTTGAATGATTGACTATAATTTAGTTTTACATTAGTGGATCAGTTGACGGGAGGAAAGTGTTTTTCTTTACCCAAAAAAATAATAGTAATAATAATAATAATAACACAATGTTATTGCACGAGAGTGTATTTAATACACCTGATTTTTTTTTTTTTTTTTCCGCCTTATGCAGTCTGAAACTGAAACAGAGGGAGAGAAAGAGAAAGAGGGAGAGAAGAGAGACATTTGGTTGTGTTTTTACGGTCCAGCTTGTCTCATATTTGAGATCAAGACTGAATCGTCTAGTCTGGTCCATGGGCTTATTTTTAGATTCTGTTTCGATAATTCGAATTGTTTAATGTGTAAAACTCGTCGAATACTATATTTTTATAAAAAATTACGTTGATAAGATATCGATAGTTATTTGAACGGATCAAATTTGTTTAAAAAAAATGGACACGAAAAAATAAATGATTGACAAAAATTTGATCTGATCAAATAGCTATCGATATTCGATCAATGTGATTTTTTACAAAGATATAGTATTTGATCAGTTCTACATATTGAAGGTTCACATTATCGAAATGGGACCAAAAATGGGCCCATGAGCCAGACTGAACGGTCCAGTCTTGATCTCAAACATAAGACAAGCTAAAACATTTTTTTACTACAACCAGAGAAAGGGGTCACATTGTTTGGCACAAATTTTATTTAGTGTGTTTGATTTCTGTTTTTTAAAAATTTAGTTTTTTATTTTTTGTATTGTTTTATTTTTAGTGAATATCTTTAAAATTTTAAATAATTTTTATTTTTATTTTTTTAGATGTAGCTTATTTAGATGTATCTAAATAGTAAATTATTTGTGAAAAAATATTTTAAATAATTAATAAATATACAAAAATATGAAAAATGTACTATTTTTTTTTTTGGTATTTAGTAAATTTTTTAAAGATTTTTCTTACAAATATTATACTTTCTAAGTATATTTATATTAGGTGTGTCTAAAAATTTTAAAAATTATTTAAAATATTAAAAAAAAATTTGTGAAAACAAAAAAATAAGGAAAATAAAAAGTAAAATTTTTTGAAAAATAAATTCTAAAAGCTGAAAAAAAACAAAGTAATTATATATATTTTAAAATGATGGATCATTGTTGAATACCGAGCTCATTCCAAACACAAGGTTAAGCTCGTATTTTAAGTTCTTGTTTGGCAAGTGAGTTTGGTTTAGATTGGGATTAAAAAAAGTATAAAAAAATAAAATAAGTTAAATAAACTAATAAGATAAAATGTTATATTTAAATCATAGTTTTTTTTTTTTGAACTGACATCTAAATCATAATTATTTCACTTTTTTGTCACAAAAAAATTAAAAAAATTCTCATGCTCTATTTTATTAGATAATTGAATCAAACTAATAAGTAAAAAGATAAAGACGTTTAATTTCATACTCTATTTTTTTCATCAATTAGTAAAATAATTATCTGAAACATTACTATTTAAAATTAATACTATTCTTAGTTTTACAAATTTAGAAAAACTTATAATATTTTCAATTTTACTAAGTAGAATATATTGGTTAATTTTTTAAAAAATAAGATCTCACTTACCATAATATTTATAAATAAGATTTTTAAATAATTAATTTATAATTTTTCATATAGGCCCCTAATAAATGACCGAAGGAATTGCTGAACTCTGGCATGACACTATGTAACCAATTCAAAATCAGTTACGTTATAGACCCCAACAAAATGACCAAAATGAACTACCGAAAAACACATGTGGACACCAACTCAACAGAGGGGCTCCACTTTTGTGCTCCACTGAACTTGCGCACAGGTTCGGATTATCTTTTTGGTTTAGTTGAATTTGCTTTTAAATTTTTTTAAAAAATTATAAAAAAAATATAAGGTTTGAATGTTATAATAAAATAAATCTTAATTTTTTAATTTTATTAATATAAATCATAATCTTTGATTTATTTTTAATTTATATTATTTGTTTATTTTTGTTAAATAAAATTGAAGAAAAATAATATTTTAATCATTATACTCAATATAATTGTACAAAAAATATCTAATTTTCTTATTCTTTTAATGATTAAAATATTATTTTTTATTATTTTTATTTAATGAAAACAAGTAAATGATTTAGATTGAAAACAAGTTAAAAGAATATGATTTAATTGATAAAATTAAAAATTTAGATTTTATTTTTTTACAATACTCAAATCTTGGAAGATTGGATTTTTTTTTTGACTTTTTGAGTATAATATTCTATGGCCAAACAAACCCTTTAGTTACCTCAGTCTCTAAAAAATAGGTATATTTTTTTGTGACGGTTTTTTGTATATATCGGTAAAAATTGACAATTATGGACTTTTTTTTTGTCCTGATTTTTATAAATTATTGCTAAACTTACAATTAGTGACATTTTTTTGTGACGAATTTTTCAAACTGTCGCTGAAAGTAAAAAAATTTAGTATAAATTACAAATATACTTCTTAAGATTTGTTTAAAATATGGAGTGC